ATTTCTTGACTGCTGCTTCCGTGAGTGTTGATAGTTGATCCAGGAAAAATGAAATCCTTGACAACTTCAATCTTTTCTCCGTTGATAAGAATGTTGTTTACTCGTCCAGTGGTGAGGATTTTTGTTTTCTTTACATTAACATGCAATCCATACCTAACCTAAGACTGTGCTCTTTGATCTTCATCAGTAAATATTTTAAGTTCTCTTCACTTTCAGCAAGCAAGGTTGTGTCATCTGCATATCTCAGGTTGTTAATGAGTCTTCCTCCAATCCTGATGCCCTGTTTTTTGTCATATAACCCAGCTTCTCTTATTATTTGCTCAGCATACAGGTTGAATAAGGATGGTGAAAGAATACAATTCTGTCGCACACCTTTCTTAATTTTAAACCATGCGGTGTTCCCATATTCTGTTAAAACAACTGCTTGTTGGTCCGGGTACAGATTCCTCATGAGCACAGTTAAGTGTTCCGGAATACTCATACTTCACAATGTTTTCCACAGCTTGTCATGATCCACACAATCGAAAATCTTTGCATAGTCAATAAAACATGGATAAACATCTTTCTGATATTCTCTGCTTTCAGTCTAGATCCATCGGATATCAGCAATGATATCCCTCGTTCCACAGCCTCTTCTGATTCCAGCTTGAACCTCTGGAAGTTCTCTGTTAATGTATGCTTTCAGCCGTTTCTGTATTACCTTTAGTAAAACTTTACTCGAATGGGATATCACAGATATTGTCCAATGATTTCCGCATTCCGTTGGGTCACCTCTCTTTGGAATGGACACAAATATGGATCTCTTCCAATCAGTTGGTCAGATAGTTGTCTTCCAAATTTCTTGGTATAGATAAGTGAGTGCCTCCTGTGTGGCCTCACTTTCTCAAAAGATTTAAATTTTTATTCCATCAATTCCTGGCACCTTGTTCTTTGTCAATTCTTTCAATGCACCTTCACAGGAGCCCAGGAATGCAGCGCTAGATGCTGGCATGACTTCTCCCCAGAGGGAACATGGTCCTCCCAATGCCTGGCTTCGAGCCCTCTTAAGACTCATTTCAAACTTCTGAGCTTCTCAGTGGTAATAACACAAGTTTCTGTTGTTTGAAGCCACCACGTTGATGGGCATTTGTGACAGAAATGGATTCAAGCCAGGCGAACACCGAGAGCTGGCCAGTTGCCACTCCGTCCTTCAAGGACAAGGTGTTCTCCATGAAAAGACAAAAAATTCTCCAGCTCGGATGCTGAAATGAGCTTGTCGTGGTCACAACATCTGTGGAGACTCATGAGGAGCCTGTGAAATGACCAAGGTGGGGGGTGTGGCCACAGACACTGGGACCTGTCTGTCTCCTGGGGATTTGACCCTCCTGTCTGACCTTGACCCTAAGGCCTATGATTCCTCCCACACCACTCCATCCTCTGTCTGCTCCTTAAGCCTTCAGTTTTCTGTCTGAGGCCTCCTTCCTCATCCTGGTTCTCCTGGGGAGTGTACAAGGCCCTCCATGGCTGTGGACAAGCTGGGGGCTCCGATCTCTCTACTAAGTGCCAGACTTGAACCTACGTGACATCTCTGCTTGGGCGATTCATGGGTTCCTGAAACCTCACCACCTCGAAGTCACATATACTGCCTGTCCCCAGCCTCGCCCCAACTCAGGGTCAGTAAGGGGCACTGATTAGTTACTGAAGCAGGTGGAGGTAGGGGAGAGGGGTGGGGGTGGGGGGCCTGACTGTTCTCTGCCCTCCACCAGATCCTGTTTTCTTCAAACCTCCCACACCATCCAGCCCCACTTCCTCACCACTATATACAAGGGGGCTTCAAAACATTCACGGAAAAAAATGGACAAACTTTTTGAAGGCCCCTTGCAGTGTGCTTCCTTCTCCAAGCTGCAGCCTCTAACAGCCTTGAAATCCTGGCTCCCAGTCTCAGTCCATGCCTCCCCCTGCCAGAGCGCGTTCCAAAAGAAACACCATTGGGATCCTCTCCTTTCATGGACTCTTCTGGAGCTTTTGCCCCAGCCTTCATACCCCTCCGTCATTATCTGCCACTCTTGGCCTGGCATGTCGCACTCCAGCCATCCTGAATCTCCACAGTTCTCTGCTCGATTGTGTGCCTCGTCTCTGACCTGGGCATGTGCTCTTCCCTCTGTCTTCAAAGCCTTCTTCCCGACACCCTTGGCTAACACGACCCCTCGTAACTCCCTGTCCAGCAGTACCTCCTCCCAGAAGCCTTCCCTGGTCCTCCGCATCATGGGATCCCCAAATGCTGTACTCACATCTCCTTGCTGTGTGCAAACTGCACAAGAGGCTACTAGAGGACAAGTCCTCATCTCCTCCATCTCTGTCTCCTTAGCCCAGTGCAGGGCACGTAGTACCAACATTAAACAAACCAAACCGACTACTGTTAGATCAATTCTGACTCATGACCACCCGTGTGTGTCAGAGTAGAATTGCTCTGTAGGATGTTCTTGGCTGTAATCTTTGTGGAAAGGAGCCCTGATGCTGTAATGGGTTATGCACTGGGTTGCTAACCGCAAGGTCAGCAGTTCAAATCCACCAATCACTCAGCAGGACAAAGATGAGGCTTTCTGCTCCTGTACAAACTACAGCCTCAGAAACCCTATACAGGTGACTCTACAGCACATAATCACCACTAATTTTTGTAAAAGATTTCCAGGCCTTTCTTCCACGGCATATTGGGAGGATTAGAAGCAAGATGCCAAGATTAGGTTAGCAGCCTGTGCCTTCCAGGTACATAGTAGACGGTCAGGAGATCTAATACTATAGCTGTATTTATGTTGAGAGGAGATTTAGAAGATGGTAGAATCACAGAATGAATTTTTACTCAGTGCTCTGTTCATTAATAACAATCTCCCTCCAAATCTATAAGT